TGCGCGTGCGCAAGACGCGCCGGCCATTGAAGCTCCGCCCCGACCCCCTGAAGCTTTGCCCCCCGCTCTCCGGAGGCCCCTCTATCCCGTGGCGCTTCTTGGTGGTGGGTTGGGACCAAGGGCGACCTCAGGACCCAGGCCGTCTGTCCGCTGCCCAGTCCGGCATTGTTTGGAGTTTCCGCAGTCAGGTCACAGGTTCTCTGAGCCCGAGCCATTTCCACTTGGGCTAGTTGGGCAGATTGAATTTGCAAGGGCGGGGCCTTAAGTCCCCTATCCGGTCTGGCAGTTGTTGGTTCCCTACCTTCTACTACTTCAAGTGGGAGAGAGGGAGCTGGAGGGCTCCTCCCTTCTCCAGCTGGCACTCCCTGTTTCCCAGTCTGCTGGCCAGTAAGTCGGAGACGAGCTATTGAGGCAAGGAGGAACGACTTTATCCAGAAAGCTGGCCAACCGAGAAGATGGCACACCGTGAAGTCCTGGAGAAACATCTTCCCCCAAGTCAAAATTCAGGCTCCTTTTATACTAAAAAGGGGAGGGAGTCTGGTTGGTTGTTGCCCACCTAGGTCAGGTCCTGATGTTGCTGCAAACCTCCAACAAGACAAATGTTATTTCCTATTTTGCAACTTTTTATCTTTATATGAATGGGAAAATGTTATACTAGTAAAGGCCAGAGCCTTGAAAATAGGCTCTCCTGTATATTTCAGGGTATGGGCAACATTCTTTTACAAAAGGTGCAGAATCAGCATGACTCAGCCTGGGAAACAGCACAGTGTTCAAGTAAAAGGAGCAAATCTAATATGGAGTCAGATTTGTTCTTTTCTATTACACCTGGGCCCATGGTTAGAATTTGCAGGACCCCTGGGCAGAGGTAGTCAGTTAACCTTTGAACTGGGCCAGAGAATCCTAGGAGAGTAGGCAGTTCACCATCTCTACGCTTCTCAGAGAGAGAAACAGAGATGGCCAGCAGTTGAAAACGAAATCAGTCCTTCCTGCAGTCCCAAGGAAGCCCCACTCTGAAAGGTGGAGGCCAAGTCCTGCTCTGGGCAGGGAGGAATTTTGCACCCAGCATGTTCCTCCTGTACCAGGACCCTAATGCCAGCCCATCAAGGCATTCACATGTGCCTGACAACATAAATCATCTTGTATAAAAGAAAACCAGAAATGCCCAATCCTGACAAGTAAGAACCCATCTTAAAGGATGCTAGAACAATAAAAGGGAAAAACAACCTCGAAATGACCTCTATCCTAAGTAACATCTGAATCACCCAGATTAATTTATGCACTGATGTTAACTGATGTGTAACAAGAAGCAAATGGAAATAAATATTCTAAAGAATGCACGACTATGCAAGTCCGTTACAAAGAGTTTTAGTTTGAAGTTAAAAAGTTGGCATGTGTATTGTTGGGAAGCAAGGAGGTTACAAAGTGTACATATTTTCAATTAGGTAAAAGCAGGCATTATTTCCAGGTGTCGGGGACAGATTAGATTTTAAATTTTGGAAAATCCAAACTTTCTATAATAGCATATATTAGAAAAAAATAGTTAAAAAATGATGCTTGAGACTGAATATACAGTGTCCAGACCACCTCTGCAGCAACCAGGCCCCCTCCCCCCACCGCCCCCTCAAATCACAACCTCTACAGCAGTCAAGACTTGGTTAATGACTGCCTCTTTGCACCCCCCACCTTCATCTCAGGACCAACCAGAGAAAGCCAGTTACGCTCATCAAACCAATCATGTAAGACATCCTGCTTCTAGTTAGCCAGACTGTGTCCCCACCAGCAGCCTCTATTCAAAGCACACTTGAAGCCTTCCCTCTGCCAGCCTTTGAGTCTCTGCCAAATGTAAGTAATGGTGGCTGACTCCTTTTCTAAAGCAAGTGCTGGATAAATGGTCCCTGTTCTCATTTGGGTGGTCTGTGTTTATTTCCACATGTCTGAGTCATCGCGGCCGAGAGCAGAAGGCAACTGCAAAGAATGTTTGGTGGTTAATGAAAAGAACAGAAAACATAAAAATTTCATATAGTATGAGTTCAACTTTGAAAAAGAGAAGAAACAAAAACACCAAAAAACTGAGTCTTAAATACTAGGGAAATTTGTTTTTCTACTTTCCTGTGTTTTTTCCTTTTTGCAATAAACATGTAATCCTTAAAAAATTCATATACATGTATTTTTTTCTTTCTTGGAAATTATAAGAATGCCTTGATGAATGATTTGGTACAACATATCAGTTGGTAAGCAGTTTTAAAATACATAGTTATGTTTACTTACAGAATAAAAAATGTATTTAAAACTTTGTATTATCCATATATTTAGTGTCACTGTTCTGGTTGTTAAACAGTTTGAATATCATGCCAGGTTAAATGATTAACAGATGAAAGTACTATTGTACATTCTTTTATCATATAAAAAGGCTAGCATCCGCTTTTATATTCTTCTGCTTAACTGGTATATCTCAAATTTATTCTTCTACATAGTACATAAACATTTATCCAAATTCCAACTTATATAAATGTTTCTAATTGATTACAATCAGTTTAAGACTTTAAACTGCCAACTGTGTGGGATTCTTATGTACATCTTTACTTAATTATGGCCAACAGTCTGGCAATGAATCTGCTGAAATTAATTTATGACAGAACATGTCAGTCTGTGTAAATACTATGAAGGAAATTACATTACTTGTTGTTAAGAAAGAAAAACATTGTTCAGTTTCCTTGATGTTGTTTTGCTGCATTTATTGAGATGTGACCCAGCAGTTGTGAACAAGGTAAAAGCATGGAGATTGTTACTTTAAAAACCATCCATAAAATCTAAAGAGACAGGAAATAGATTAGTGGCTACCTGGAGCTGGGGGAGGGAACAGGGGTCGGCAGCGCTGGGCAGGAGGTGTCTTTCTGGGGTGATGGAAATATTCTGAAGCTGAATTGTGATGGTTGCACAACTCTGTAAGTTTACTAAAAATCACTGAATTGTAACTTAAAACAAGGGAATTTTATGGTATATAAGTTTTGCCTCAATTAAAGCTATTAAGTTAAAAAAAAAACAGCCACAGAGATGTATCTTTTAGTAGAAATAAGAGCAACCCCGTGTCAGTGCAAATGCTGACACTGACAACTGGCTCCTGCTGCAAAGCTTGGGGGTCCACATGGCTCAGCCTGCTGCCCATGTCCCCACAGTCTGCCTCCTGAACCCAAAGGTGCGCTGCAGCCCAGGCCCGAGCACACACCTCCTGCACCTGGACCCAGGCTGTTCACACCTGCGCAGCTCGGGGCTTCCTCTGCTGGTGCAGGGCCGTAGGCCCCGCCCAGCCTGCATCCACGCTTCCATGTCTCCAACCTCTCTGGGGGTCTTGAATCTCCACCTCCTGTGGGGGACTGAATGGAGCCTCTGGAACATGGCCTGGGCCCCATACCTGCCTGGGGAGGAGCCAGGAGGCCAAAGCCGTGGTTGAGGGCCATATTAATTCTCTGTACACAGTGTGGTTTTGAGTTCTTTCAGGGATTTATTAAGGCATTGAGCACAGTGTGATTTTTAGCCAACTGAAATGAACACAAGGAAATATATCAGGACCTGAGGGATATGCTTTTAAGGTTAATGGTGAGGGTGACAAGCTGAAACAGAGTTTAGTGTAATGCTGGCACAGGTGGCACCCACCCCGGTATCCCTCAGCCAGCTCAGGCGCAGGGGCTCCTGGAGAGCACCTCAAAGTTCTCACCACTTCGGTGCCCAACAGGCACATGACGTCCCTACCTGGTGCCAAGTGGCAGGACAGCCCCCAGAGCACGCGGCTGTAGGAGAGGAGGTGGAGGACGGGGTGTGGCAGGTCAGAGAGCCCCTGGCACTATGCAGGGGCTGGCAGCCCCAAGGCAGGACAAGCGGATGGGGAGCCCCTGCCTGGGCCCAAATGCAGCTGTTCAGCCTTCTTTCCATTTACGACTCACTGCTTCTGGGGAGAACGGGAGGAGTCTGTCCTTAGGGAGAAAACAGAAAGGGAGACAGGAGAGATAGGCCATCCCCCCCGGCCTCGGAGCCCTCAGCCCAAACCCGTGGCCAGCTCGTGGTCGCTGGAGGTGCTGAACTGCCTCTCCACCTTCCTTTGGTCCTTGGTCTTGAGTCCAATGTCTACACTCTTCTCAAAAAAAGTTCACCAGCACGGACTCCGTCAGGATGGAGGCCAGGATCTGCTCGAAGGAGATGCACCAGTCCGTGTCAACAGCACCCCCACAATGGGTGGCGGCCACAGGGCCGCACGCCTCCCCGCCCACCAGCACTGTGTCGTCGGCCAGGTCCTCGCACTGCAGGGAGCCCGTGCTGACCACCGAGTAGGAGGACACAGACATGTCGTCTTTGGTCTCGTCGTCAGACAGGGGCTGCGAGGGGGAGCCCTGCCCCTCGCCGCCACCCCCTTCGCCCACCACTTGGCTCTCCTGCGGTGCTTTCCCGAGGTGGGTGTCTCCACCTGCTTTGGCCTGGGGGTCCCCTGCAGCTGGCAGCTGAAGCTCCCGGGCTGTGTCCTGAGGGGGCTCTGGGGCTGGCGGCTGGTCCTCCTCAGGCGCATCGTCCCTGGGCCTTCTGCCTGGCCGTGCAGTAAACCTCTTCCCCACCTCCCCGATGCGGAGCAGCAGGCTGGCCACTGTGGCGATGGCATGGTACAAGTCCTGCTCCATGGGGTCTTCACTGAACATGTTGTAAAGCGTCTTGCACAGCTCAATGAACTGCTCCTTTTAAGGGGAAAAACAGAAAAAGGACAGGGAGAGGGTAAAAGCTGGGTCAGACTGCCCTGAGGTCAGCCACTCATAATGCTGCCCATCTGACTGTGTGGGGGTGTTGTCCTGTTAGTTGTCTCCACACACCTGTGCCTTGACAAGCCCATTTCACAGATTAGGACACTGAGGTGCGGAGAGGGAAAGGGCTTTCTTTTCCAGCTGCCTTTCTTTCAACACAGATAGAAAGATTTGGGGTCTCTCCCTGTCTGTGTCCATTCTGTTGGCAGAGATGGGCCTATTTCTATCATGACTTTCCAAGCCCAGGGACGGCAAGGCCTTCTTCACTGTGTTTTAGAGTCACTTTGAGCTTTTTGTCTTTAACCAGAAGCGACTTCAGCTCTGTCCTTCATGAAGCTCTTTGGAGTGATGACAAGGCCAGGCAGCCTGGGCCGGTTGGGAGGGGAGGAGAGGTCAGGTTCCATGTCCCGAAACTATGCATTCAGGCCTCCTGGCCTGAGAGTGGGATGAAGCCTCACTCCACCGGGCACCCCATCCTTCAGGCCTGGGGATGGGGGAGCGCTCAGAATTGCTGGGTCCCCCCTCGGGGCACAGTGGGCCGTGGTCAGGCTGCAGCTCAACTACTGCCTTTGGTCAGATGTCAGGGGTCCTGGCTGTGAGACCCTTGGCAAGAGGCCACACTCCCGACCTAGAGACCAGCAAGTGGGCAGCGGGCGGTGGGCCTAGCAGGCCCGCGTGTGCCCAGCTCCGGGCTGGGCTGGGAGGGGGCTGGCGGGCGGTGGGCCTAGCAGGCCCGCGTGTGCCCAGCTCCGGGCTGGGCTAGGGGGGCAGGAGCACTGTGACCCTGCCTTGTGAAAGGTGGTGTGACTCTCCGCCTGTCGCGGCTCACCTTCCCCAGCACTTCTCTGGCTCATAGATACCGACTGAACTGAAGCAAGTCACCACCCACGGGGTGTCCTGGACAAGACCCCTGTCCTTCTGGAAGAGCCCCTGACTGCCGTCGGACTAGCAGCTCTAGAGGAGGGCAGGGGAATTCCTACATGCCAGGGGCTGCTGGGAGGCAGGGTGGCGGGGTGCCGGTGGTAGAGCCCAGCCGTCGTCAGGATTTTCCAGAAGCATCTGTTGCGTGTTCCCACTGGGCCTACCTGGTTCATCTTGGGAAGATCCTTAATTGTCTCCTTCTGAGCCTCCTTCTCCTTGGCCCACATGCGGAGGTAGTGCCGACAGTCAGGAGGGCTGGACGCCTTCTCCTCTGCGAGTTGGGAGGAAAAAATAAATCTCTGTCAGATGAGAGAAAGAAGGCTGGGGGCTGGCAGCAGGGCTAAGTGGGTTTAAGTGTCGTCTGGCATGGAGCTACCTGGGCCCTACTGCAAAATACCCTGGCATGTGGAGGTGGTGGTGGTGATGGAAAAACACCCCAGAATATCCACGGGTCTCCCCTGAGTTACGCTGAAGGGAGTTTGAGCTCAGCTGATGAGGATGGCCCTGACCTGCCTTCCCCAAGGTGGAGATGGAACCACATGGAAGCTGGAGGGAGGGCGGCCTGAGGAGAGGCTGGGCACCTGGAGGAGTCCTGGCAGAAAGCAGGCACCCCCAGAGGGAGGTGGTGATGGCCAGGGGTGTGCACAGCTACAAGAGTCAGGCCTGGGGCTGCTGAGCGCTGGGCGGCTGAGGGGCTGGGCTCAGGGAGAGCCGGGTGCCAGGCACGAGTCCGCCATCTCCCCCGGGCAGGGGGCTCTTCCGCAGCGACGGGGCGACCAGACCCCACCACCCCGAGACCTCCCCCCGGGCATCAGCAGATAGAGGCCTACATGTACCTCTTTTTTTTTCTTGGACATCCTCATTGCCAGCTCCCTCTCGCTCTTCTTGTTGTAGTGTTTCTGGACCAGAAGAATAAAAAGAACAAGAACATACTTCCGTTACGACTCTAAACCACTGGTCTGTGAGCGGTCTACCTAGTCTGTGCTCCCCTGCAGGAGCAGCCCCACCCTGGCCCCTGGGCCAGCGGGTCCTGCGCGCTGCTGCTTCTCTGGCCCCCAGCAGGGCTGGCTCTCCCCACCTGGGTACGTTAAGCCAGAGAGCTACCGACCCTCATGTCCTCTCTTCTGAAGGAATACAAGTCACACTACACAGTTTTTAAGTGAACTGTGATGCATGTACGGCCAAAAGTTCGAGACTAATTGAATTGAATTGAATTACCAATTCAACCCGCAACTGCCACACCAGCTGATGAGGACTTTTATGTACGTGAATCCTGTGCTCCGCACTGAATTTCTTAAAGTAACAAACTTGCTGGAGTCCGCACACACTGTGCTTCCTGGGTCGGCAGTGAGCCTGGGGAGAAGAGGCTGCCCAGCTCTCCCAGACCTGTCCCCCAAGGGGGTGTGACTAGGGGGGTGGCAACGTCCCAGCTCTAAATGGCCCTGCCAGCCACATGGTGGCCGGGAAGGGCACAGCTCTCTGGGCTCAGGCCTCTCACCAGGCAGCAGACCACTGCCTGGAGGCTCGTGAGGTCTGGGGACAGGGCTCTGTGCCCAAGTCCCTGGCTTCTCCTGGACGTGCCTGCGAAAAGCCAAAATCATCTTTGATTTTCAGGTTCCAAGGTTCATCTGCTTCTTTAGTTTGTGCACTGGAAATCAAAGACCTCAAGCTTCACAGTCAAGTAAGCCTTTGACACTGTCAACGGGACTGCTCTGGGTATCTTTCTCTTTTTTTTTAATTGAGTTATAGCCAGTTTACAATGTGTCAATTTCTGGTGTGCAACACAATGCTTCAGTCATACGTGAATACACATATATTCATGTTCATATTCTTTTTCACTGTGAGCTGCTGCAAGATAGCGAACATACTTCCCTGTGTGCTCTGGGTATCTCGATACACACCGCTTTACATTTCCCTTTTGGGTGTGAATTACCTTTGGCCTGTGTGATCTATCTCCCATGAGAAACTGTAGGAGAGTTTTGGTCACCAGCTTCATTGTCAAATCCCAGGCCCAGAATGCCCCGTCACCTGGGATCCAGTACTCCCACAGAGCTTTAAATGTAGCACAGGAATGGCTTCTAATAGGCACTAACACATGTAAAAAGTTGTGTGGAACATGAAACTGTTTCCAAGGAAAGCATCCATTACTCTCTCCACTTCCAATCATCGGTGCTTTGTCTGTTTCACAATGACAGCTTTGCAATGATAGCATTTCGTGGTTTTTCCTATGAACGTGATGACAGGATACCTTTTTTTTTTTTTGCATGTGGCGGGGAGCTGAAGCCCTGGTACCTGTGCAACGCCCACTGTGCTGTGTGTCCCCATCTGCTGCGCCCACAACAGGCCAAGCTGCCACCCCTCTCTCCGCCCCCCACCCACGGCTGGCTCTGGGTCCTCCCTGGGACTGAGCCACACAGGAGGCGTCTCTTGGACCAAGAGCTTCCAGGCCTCCTGATGGTGCCAGGGAGTGTTTGGAAGACTAAATGCAAGGCCCTGGGGAAGCCAAGTGCAAAGGGGGCGCCCCTGCCCCCCAGGCACTGACCTTGAGCCTCCCAGGGCAGCAAAAGATCCAGATCGGAGGCCAGAGGAGATGCTGGAAGAGACAGCGGAGGAGGAGCGGAGGCAGAGGGAGGGAGAAGCCAGGGTCCAGGAAGGCAGAGAAAAGAGAAACAGGAGTGAGAACAGCCCCGAGGGCCTGGCCCCAGGGAGCGAGGCAGCGCCCCCTGGCCGTCGCTCTGCAGCTTTCCACGGCGGCAGCACGTTCCCCCAGCCCAGCAGGGCCGCAGGCCACTGCATGGCGACAGAGCCCGAGGCCAGCGGCACAAGGAGTGCTCACCTTCTGAGGAGCTGTCCTCAGTGAAATAATGGGTTGCTTCCAGGGCTGACTCGGCCTCCTCTGGGCTCAGGGCTGTGCTCAGAGAGAAAGGAGGGTGAGGGCAGGAGGGAACAAGTGAGTCTCACCAAAGCGAAACTCCCCAAGTCCTAGACAAAGGCCTCCCCACCACGCCCACCGTGTGGCCCACCGCTCCCAGCC